TTTAGTAAATTTCTTTTGTTATTTTTAGTATTTTAGATGTTATAACCAAAAAATAAAAAGAAAATAAATAAATTTTTTATATAACAACGCATTCTTGAATTTTTAAAAAATTTTTAATAAAAGTTTAATCCTATATACATTCGAACTCAATGAACAATTTTAATTAAGGCTTAAACTAATATTAATAATATGGTTTTCTAGATTATTGTATTTAATTAAAATTTTTTATTTAAAAAAAATTCATATTTTTGATAGCTTAAAATTTTTTCTAATATAACATTATAAAACTTATATTAGAATTGCTTACTAAAATAAAATTTATATTGTATAATATAACATGATATATATAGTTTATTTTAGAATCATATTTTTATAGATTTTATTGATAATTTATTATATAAAATTTTAAATACTAAAACATGATTTTTTTTAAATCAAAAATTTTAATTAAACACAACAATTCTAGAAAACTATATTGTTGATATTAGTTAAGGTCTTAATTGAAGTTATTTTCTAAGTTCAGATGCATATAGGATTAAATTTTTATAAAAAATTACAAAATGTTCAAAAATGCATCACCATATAAAAAGTATATCTGTTTTCTTATTTATTTTTGTTAATAAAGGTCTAAAATACAAAAGGAATTTATTGAAATTTTCTAAAAATTTCAAATTATATACAAATCGTCATGATTATCAACTTTACTTACTATGCAAAGACCGATTTGCATATAAAAAAATAATATTTTATATGTGGCTACAATCATTAATAAATTAGTTGATTATTAAAAAGCCGGTGATTTTTGTCAGGGGAGTGTAGCTTAAAAGATGCCTGTTTTTTACTATTCTCTAGTTGTTATACAATATCAGCTTCATTAACATTAGGCTTAGACTTTTATTATCTTTATCTATTCACTAAAATTTCTTATATAAGAGCACCACCTTCTGCTAGTTACTATATATTTCTGAAAATAATCTACTTCAAAATAAGTTATCTTTTCTTTTCTTGAAAGAGGAATATAAAAAATTTTTTTTCAAAAATAGGCTACCCCTAATAATTTTTAAAATTCAGAAGTAGTTTCTATATATAAAAGTCAAAATTCTACTAATTAGATCAACAAAAGTCACTTAATAGAAGTTGTTCTGAACATAAAAATATATATATATTAAAAGTTTTAAGCAAATTATAAAAATTTTTACTAAGATATTTTTGCATTTTACGGTCAAACATAAAATGCAAAAACATCTTAGAGATCTAGAAATTCAATTAACAATTAGATGTTACAACTCAACTCATTCACAGATCACAAATCTAAATAGCAAACTATGACCTAGAGTTACCAAACTCTATCAATACTGATGTTCCTAACTTCGCCATATCTACTGATTTCATATAAAGAAGTGTGGCTACTAAAACCTAACCACCAATTGTTTGAATTTGTTCTAGTATTAATCTATCTACTATTTATAGCCATAGTGGCCTCTCTAATTTTTAAACTATGGACTATAAATTTACTCTTCAAATTTATATAATTCGCAAACCTTCTAACAATTGCTATAATTAAAAAAACTATTATTATTTTTTTTGTTTTAAATAAGAAAAAGAGGGCATTCATTGACCTTTGTTTTTGGCCTGATTTTAAAATATTCTACTACTTTTCTAACTGAACAATATTGGCTATTTGTTTGCTTAATAAGCACAAACTTTCTCTTGGCTAATTGGTCTGCTTTAGACCTATTTATTCTAACTTAAAGCAACCTATCTCTTAACCTTAAATCCTTTACTCTTAATTTACAAAGTTCTCCTAAATATCTTATTGTTTTTAGACCCAGGGCCACTAGTGCTAAATCCCAGGTCCACATTTCAAATCTAATACCTTTAGAAAGAAAATCTAAATATTGCTTCACAGCAACAATTAGCAAAGGGTCTATTGGCCACTTTGTCTCTGTATCTTTAGTAACAACTTTTTTAATTTCATTGACTATTGCTTGCACTATATAACTTTTGTTGAGTTATATAAACCATTTAATTTATGAATTCTTGCAATAGCTACCAAGCAAATTAACATTTCTGAACTCCGTTCAGACATTTCTAGCCAAGCTAAATATACTGCAATCACAGTAATTGAAGCTAGGCAAGATTAATAACCAACCTTTTTAGTAAATTCTACAAACATATTTTATATCTTGGCTAATCTTTTCCTATATACATTACTAATAGCATTCTCAATAAGAAATCTGTATGCTCTAAGAGCTTTTTAACCAGTCTATTCAGATTGCCCTCAGCTTCCAGTAACTGTTATTGCATAGTTTTATATAGTCTAATGGGCCTGGTTGAATTATTTCTATTAGTGGTAGTAAATCTATTTTCTCTTTTTTTATACTTAGAATCATTGGCTACCAAGGAGCTGCTATCCAAATTAGTATGATGATTACTATTATTATATCATACTCCTTTGCATATATCAGTGCTCAATGAATTAGGCCAAAAGGTGAGCACAAGTAATTTATACAATCTTTTTAGTTTTGTGTGAAGCAGTTCACTACTTCTAAACCAGGACAAAAATATAAACTGTTGAACTTTTTTAACTTTGTATTTAAGTGACTTGCAAATCTGTTAATATCGAACTCTCCTCAACAACTCTGCAACTAATCTATTATACTTGCTTTTAACTTCCAATTTCTGAAATTCAAAACTTTTGTAAACTTATTTACTATATTCTTTATATTTGAAATTTATTTTGTACAATAAATCTCTATATCTTTCTAGAAACAAACTTTTTAGATTTCTTTGGCAATATCTTTTTGCTATTGCATGAGTTTACCATCTACTATTAACTTTAGTGCCACCTTGTTGTCTATTATCAGCATCACTTATGAACCCTTTAATTGCTCTTCAAATGACTACAGAACTCAAAGTACTACAATAGCTTCGAGCTGAGCTATAATATTGGCTATTAACTTGTTTATCCAATTCCCTGCAGCTACTAACTTTTGGTAAACTCCACACCAACCTACTATTGAGGCATCTACAAAAACTACCTTTATTTTAGAGAGTTTCTAGACTAGATGCCTATTTCAACTTTTCAAGTTTTCCACTAACCACTAAACATCTTTCACTGCTTGCAATGACAAACCAATATTTTTGTCCTACTCGTACCAATAGCAATTTCTTGCATTTATTAACTTGTAGAACTTGAAACTTTTTACTTGAGCTGGGGAGAAGGTTTTGAACTTTGCCTGTAACTGAGACTAATTTCCATACTAAAATTCTTAATACCTCTAGCAATGCTTTTAGTTGTAAAACAGTAGCTATAATTTTTTTCTCTGGGGCAAGTACAAGGCCTTTTGCTGTGTTTATAATAAGACCACAAAATTTTGAATTTTGTACTAGGTCTTAACTGCCTTTTTCCTCTGCTTGAATACATTTACAGCCCTCCAAGTTTCTTTTTATAATCAATTTCCACTACTCTAATAAATCATCTTTTAAAGGATAAGCTACTCAAACATTATCTAAATAGTTTCTACAGAAAATTTCTTTTGACCTCCAGTTTCCAACCATTGCTTTTATTATTTTAATAAAAATTTAAGATGACTAGTTTAGACCAAATAGCAATACCATCACTTTTTCTCAAAACAAAAACCCAGAAAACATTAAGCTATATTGTCTATTAAAATATGATAATAATCTTCTTTTAAGTTGAAGGTTATAACCCACCAATATCTGCCTACTGTTCTCAACAATGAGCCTATGTCTTTGAATTTGAAAAACTTTTGTGATAAGGTTTTGTTTAATTTTCTGAGATCTATAACCAGCCTGAATTTCTTTGAATCCTGTTTGGAAACTACAAAAACCAGGCTTACTTCTAATAAAAACTCTGGTTTCACTTCCTCTTCTGCAACTTTTCTAATAGCATCAGCTTTTTTCAAATGTTTCAATTCTTTCTCTATCCACTTTTTCTCCTTTATAGTAAAGATTAGAGACTTTGGTAATAGTTGTAACACTAAGCTCATAACCCTTTTAAAAAGAGAGAAATTATCTGTTTTAGCTATTCTATTATTAATAATACAAGTTTTATTATGTTTTTTCAATATCTCACTGTTGTATCTGAATACAATCTGCTTGTTACAAACTAAACACTGATATTGATCTTTTTTTTATTGTTTATTAACCCAGAAAATGCCCCCAAGTATAGTCAAACCTTTCTTTGCTTTGAATTGTTCTCACGAAAGGGCATACTCATATACTTTTTAGAACTATATTCACTAGCATAATGCCTTTTGCTTTTATATAAATAACAAATTAGTTTCTGTATAGCATCATACCTTCTGCCTAAATTAGAATTTTTAAACCCAAATAATGGAGAACTCTGATATTTATATTAAAAAAATTGTATCTTAGGAGATGAATTATGTAAAAACATATCTTGCACTACCTGCTATCCTAAAAAATTCGGGTTCATTGAACTACTACTCTCTAAAAGTGACAAAGTTAAAAACATTCTTTGTTGGTTAGAAAACTGTTATCAGATTGGGTAGGTAAAAAGATGAGTTTGTATAAATGTAGATACAACTAGTTGATCTATTTAAAAATTAGAAAACAGGTCCTGTGTACTTCCATACTGCCTATTCCCACCTTGACTCTTTTTATAGAAAAATCTATATTTTTTATTTCTTGAAAATAACTAGGTAGCTAATCTGGCTTTTTTATACTTTCTTCCAAAAAGCTAAGACATGAGGTCTGACAAATTATCTAATATCATCTTTGCAGCAATACTTTATTAGCAACTCTAACTGCATATGCTTTTTCTAATGCTACTGGCCTAGCTAACATCAAATAATCGGCATCACCAGTACTTAATGCCTTATCTAACAAAGCATCTATCTTATACTATTTATTAAACTCCTATTGGTTTCTGGCTTTAGACAAATTGTGCTTTTTCCAAAGATCTATACCCTCATTGCCTTAATCACATGTGACCTTATTCTTCATTGCAAAACTTATGGGAACTGATCAGCATTAGTTGGTTCCAAACCCAAATTCTCTACACCAGAGCCTGTATCATTTGGCCCACTACTATTAGCTGGGTGCCCAAGGTTTAAAAAAAAAAAAGAAGTACTAAAACCACTAGTATCCTTAATATTTGCAGCCTTGGCTTTCTCTAGGAGATTGCTCTCTGCTTTTACACTCACTAACCAATCTATTAATTAGGTTCTGCCTTACACCAACATCAGAAATACCCATACTAATGCACAAAAAATTTTAACATTTTCAAGAATAATCGGCATCACCAGTACTTAATGCCTTATCTAACAAAGCATCTATCTTATACTATTTATTAAACTCCTATTGGTGTCTGCTTTAGACCTATTTATTCTAACTTAAAGCAACCTATCTCTTAACCTTAAATCCTTTACTCTTAATTTACAAA